TGCATCATCCATGACTTCTAGGAATAATATGATGCAATTCATATCATGTATGACGCAATACCAGCTTCAGATTGCATCATTCATTGTTTTGCCTAAAAAGCAAGTACTGTCCAAACCCAGTCATAGATTTATTCATAGATCCAGTCAAAGATGTATTTTAGTCATTTCTGGTTTAAATTGAGATCCCTTCCCTTTATAACTCACTCATCCTCCGCCATTCCCAAGTCAAGGATCGGACAAAAAAGAAAATTCTCTGTGGACTACAGCATTCATTTGACCTCACACACACTGCTTATGTTGACCCTACTTAGAATTAAGGATATTGGGGTAGATTTTCAAGGCACAACTGGCAGTTAGGCAGGCACCTAATTTCCAGTGACTTGCAATGGGAGTTAAGGTATCAAATGGCCATTTGATACCTTTAAAAATCTCCCCCAGTGTCACATAGTAGAGATGCTTCCAGTTATAGAGTGGCTGCCCTTCTTCTCCTGTAAGAGTGCCCCACAACGAGAGGATTGTCTGTGCATGCATTCAAGAAAATCTAAAAACCTCTCCACATTCCCACTCTTCCCCACAATTCCCTGCTAATTTATTTTCAAGACATTTATTTTGGCAGCCAGGAAACTCATTCTTCAATCCTAAACAAAATCCCCTAATTCTCAAAGAACTAAAGATTGGTGTAGGAAAGAGTGAGCTGGCTACCCTGTAAAGAGCGATCAATGCGGTGTAAGTAGATAGATTACCCAGTAGTAATAAACTGCAATAATTTGTAAATATGACCAGTCTTGAACTTTTCAAACTAATTCCTCACATGGTTATAGATTGATCTGGTATATAATCTGTTACACATTTTTTATATACCAGTTATGACTACAGTGCCCCTTTCTTATGTAGGTCCCTTACCAAAGACAACATGGCAATGAGTAAGTACCTTTCCTTACTCTTCAAGATATGTTTTAATATACAAACTCAATTATATTTATGCATTTATGTAAAATAGTTCAGCCCCTTCTCCAAAAAATGTATATGAATGCTATTTGATGAGAAAGGTATTCTTCTTCTGGTGCTTGTGCTTTATATACAGAGCTGCAACATGGTAGGCAAATTTTGTTCCATTACCCCTCATGTACAGCAATATTAGAAATCACAGTAATGCATATTCACAGCAATAACAGATGTTCAAAAGATAGCTGAGGCTTCTGTTTGGTATGGAGCCAAGATGACAAGCTACTGAAACCTATTAACAGTGTATCCTGACTGTGTAAAGAATCATAAGGAACCATATGATGTCTAGAAAGAAAACAGGAAAAATAATAAAATGTGATCATAAATTTAATATATTTTATTAATACCTGGCAACCGAATAGTAATAGACAATTTAAATGTGTACAGCAATATAACTGACTTGTGTCAGATGCATAGTTGAGAAGAAGATTGCAGACATTCCAATATTTATAGCAAAAGAAAAAATGAACCGGACTTGATTTGGCATAGAGAGCTTTATGTCTCATACTGAGATTCACCTGAACATGGAGATTCTGTGAAGAATCCAAATAATGAAACACCTTCACTTTGCCAGTGACAAACACCAAACAATTAGAGATGTCTTCACTATAACAAAGATTACACATTTATAGTGTTTCTTGAACCTATAAGAAACCTACCAAAACTACCAGAAATTTTTTTTTTAACATTTAAAAAAAGAAAAAGAAAAAGTATGTTGACAAAGGATAATGTTCAAGCAAGTGCTTATACGGCAGACACCAACGAGTCTCTACACTTTCTGCTGACTACAAGTCATTTTTAAGAGAGATACAAGTCAGTCCGACCATTCTCATGCAGACCAAGAAACAATGATTCCATTAGGTATTGGCGACAGATATTTTGTCTGGAATTAATTTAAGTTTCTGATCTTCTAACTAGACTATCAGTGTGAATAAAGAGGCAACTGATCTTTCTGGTTAAGTCAAGGTTAATTCTTTTCGGACTTCAAATCAGTAGCATAACATGGTCACCCAGCCACTGAAGGGTTAGACTGTGCTCTCAGCAACTGGTTAAGGTATTATGGTTTTATTAGCTATCAAAGGATCTCAGTGGGCCTACAAGCATGTGCTTAAGTGCTTTCTCAATTCAGGGCTATAATGAGTTTTCCAAAAGGTACACAATGCACATATTTTAGGATCAATTCAATAATGTTATAAATGGAAATACAAGTAATAGACTGCATAAGATATCTGGAATTGAGGCATTTCAGTCTTGCCCTCAAATATGCATGTGAACATCAGCACCTATCAACAAGGCAGCTAACTTCAAATGATGCATGGTAATGTTCATATGAGGGGAGGATTGAGTCCACAGTAGGAGATGAAAGATGCACTTATCCTAGGGTACAGTACTACATAGTAAACTGCTTATGATTCTTCAAGAACTACATGACATTAGGAAAATCTTGAAAATAGTACACTACTCTTAGTTACAGGAAGTGGTTTGAAGAATTCTTTAAACAGTCACAAAAGGACCTAAAAAAGAAGTATAAGACTACCTACACATGTCAAAAATAGCTATACCTCTGCAAGACGACTTGCACTGTCTGAAAGATGAATGGCATAATCAAGGACTATCTGCCTCTATTAGTAGCTATTGAAAGAAATGTTTGTTACGCACATCTAGCAACCACCTGAAAATTCAGGGCAAGGAAAGGAATCAAGAACATTACAGCAACCTGAAACTACCAGGATTATTAATAATAGCAGTACTGTAAAGTTTGAAGTATTTTGGTTTTGCCTTTACAAAGAGACAAAGAGTTAAATTTTGAAGAATCAAGTTTTATAAACGTAGAAAATATTTTAACTTAACAAAGGGGATTGTTATATAATGTTGAGAACTAACAGTTGCTAAGTACAAACTCCTAGGTTTTTTTTCAATTCTCCCACTAAAGAGTGGGAAAGTCACTTTAACAAGTCACTTAATCTTCTCCGTCTCCGTTCCTCATCTGTAAAATTGAGTTAAGAATATTACCCAATCATAAAGGCATGCTGTAAAGCTAACATTTCAGTTAGCTAATATAACATTGGTGAGATACTTGGATAATAAGGTGATGAGCACCTGAGGAAAGCCTATAAATACATACACATGGGGATGCCAGATAGGACCTCACATGAGGAAGAAAAGGGACGACCTTTAAAAAAAATGTTTTGCTGTTCGTTCTTAAAGGCCCAGGCATATTTATACAATATTTAAAGATGGAAAAGAAAAGGATTGCAGAATAAGGAAAACCAAATTCGGCCTTATTTAAAAAGTAGTGTCTGTCCCTTGCTTACCTTCTTCTTGTCTTTCAGATCCAACCAACTGGACAAGAACCATCTGCTGCAGCATCACAGCCCACCAGGACAGGAATAGCTTGGAGAACCATGGCATTACTTAGCCCACAGCTGTTCTCTCACGACTACTGAAAACGTGTCCAAGAGCCAGGTCATACTGCCTTGGATCTCCAACAGAACAGATTGCAATGACTCAGGATCTTTCTGGGTCAAGAAAAGTCAGCCAGGCCGCACTGTTGTCCATTTAATACACAGAACCAATTATCCGGTCTCGTTTCCATTCTGAGTATCCTATTTCCAGATTCTTATTTAAATCTGCTCTAAAAGAAAGCCATGACAGAGGACTGCCTCTCAGTAGCAGTTTGAAATAAAAAGTTTAAGTTTTGGGCATGGGTGGAGGCAAAGGAACGGCAAAGAAACCAATCTACAACCCCAGAGGAAAGTAAAACCATATTAAAGGTGACATTATTTTAGATGAATTTACAGTTAATCAAACCACACTGAACAAATAAAACAAAGTTATGGCATCACACATGCACTCTGGCTGTGTTTTCCCAAGGCCTCTCTGAAATGAGCATATATAACCGTACCCTAGAGTGTGTTAGCTCTTACTGTGCTTATAAAATGGTTACTGTAGTGTTTTCACTAATTAGCAGGAGGTCAGGAGAGTATGCTCTCAATTACATAACTCAGTCTTCATCAGGCAGTCAGCCAGATTGCTCCCCAAGTCCATGACATTTTATAAGCGATTCTCCAGCAAACAAAGTTCCAGAGCAGTTGAAATTGGATGAGATAAACAATAACTAATGAACTAAATAAGGAAATTCATGTACGTTTCCTTTTGTGTTTGTACATCCGATACTGTTATAGACCGAATGTTTTTCATGTCATTACAACATATCAAGAATGACTCAGAGTGATACCTCCCTCCTCCTAAAAATAAAACAAAGTAGTAAATGAAAACACAACATTTCCCAGTCAGAGTTTTAACCCTAACAAGGGCCAAACGCTCCATGAAGTTCACAAAGGACTTCATTGGTGATATTGATTTTATATGGAAGGCATTCATATAGGGTTTTATACTACAGCCTATTACTGTACTAACAGATAGCTGTGATAAATAAGTGAAATAATACTCTCTTAATCAGTACATTACATGTTCTCTAGGCACATTTTCTTCTTTTCCTGACTTCACTACACTTCTATTAATATCAAACATGCATCTAGAATATCAGATATAAAAACATGCCATCAGGCAATGGCTGGAATTACAAATGTGTCTTTAGTAAACTATACAAACACAGAAAAAAGGAAAACAACAAATAGTTTCCAGCATAACTTTAGTATTACAGCTCAGATGTTAAAGCAAACAAAGATACATAAACTGATGGACATAAAACATTTTGCTGTTCATGTCATTTTACTTTTGTGTTTTAAACCCCAAAGTATAACTGAAATTTTGAAACATCAGAGTGAGCAGTGTAACTAAATACATGAGGTCATTGACCGTGATTCAACTTCTCCCTGATGTTAACTCGAGACACCGAAAAAGGAGACAAGGAAAGTAACGGGGAAATTGTATTTGTCTGACCTTGTGACAGACCCATTAAAGGCTACAAGTAATTTGAAAGGTAGCATCTGGGTGTAGCAGACAATGAGAATTTGGAAAGTTGCCATGCCTTTAACTCCTCCTTTAGAAAGTACTCTTCCAGCAGCTGCCTTTTTACTCCAACGGAGTTCCTGCAGGTCCAACCACAAAAGTATTTATGAAACACATTCACAATTTTGCTGCCTGCTAGTCTGAACTTTAGGTGTCAACCGGTGGTTTCTTAACGGCTACAAACAAAATACTGAGGCTGCTTAGAAGACCAAAAAGATGAAGAATTGCTCAATAAATATTTTATGTATGTGTAAGAAAACATGGGAATGACACTGGAACGCTTGTTTTTGGGACTAGTGAAGATGGAACCACTGTAGAGGCATCACATGCGTCTGATGAAGTGGGTATACACACACGAAAGCTTATGCTCCAATACATCTGTTAGTCTTAAAGGTGCCACAGGACTCTGTTGCTTTTTTACAGATCCAGTTAACCCGGCTACCCCTCTGATACTGTAGAGGTGGATACTCTCACTTTTTGGTAGGTAATGGGAGAGAAATCAGTACAATGCAAACCCTGTTCTTGTGCAAGCCCAATGGTCTGCTTTGAAGCACCATTGTAGTCTTTAAAATTGCTGGTTATCTGGCTGATTTAAAGAGGAAGAGTGCTTCAATTAAGAGTAAAAATAATCTCCTGGAATTACAGATGACAGAAGTCCAGCAACTCCACTTACTAGTTCAGTTAAATACAATGGGCCACCATGTGGAGAACTTTCAGAGTCAGTGTACAGTAAGCAAGGAGAAAGTGATGGTAACCTGTTTGCTTTCAGCTAGTGACTATTACTATTTCCTCTTTGGGAGTATTGGAAGCTGAGACCATGGCCAGTGGTGAATACTGAGGATTGTGGAAAGTGAAAGTGCAACATAGGCAGCAGATTGTATCCAGACAGCTACTATACTACCAAAGTGATTTTTTTCCAGTTAATGGCTTTTTGAATCAAGGGAGTCAGGCCGAAAGTCGAGCTGTTTTAAGAATCTAAGCAGCTTATTTCTGTTTTTGAAGGTTCTGATGGCTCCAAAGCACAGACCAAAATTAGGGTTACCATATTTTGAGCCTCCAAAAGGAGGACACTCCACAGGGCCCCAGCCCCACCCACGCCCAGCCCCGCCCACACTCCAACTCCGCCCCTTTCCCAAAGTCCCCACCCCAACTCTGCCCCCCTCCCCTGCTTCCCGTGAACATTTGATTCGCGGGAAGCCTGAAGCAGGTAAGGGTGGTGTGGGGGGAGGAGGCGCGGCCCAGTCTAGCCCCCCCCGGCGTCTCCAGCCTGGGTCGGCTCAGGCACTGGGGTGCCGGCCCCGGGCCCGGGCCCACACCTCCGGCCCGCCCAGCACTGCCGGTCCCTGGCCCGGCACCGCCGGCCCGGCCCCCGGCTCGGCCCGGCACCGCCAGCCCCCGGCTTGGCCCCCGGCCCAGCACCGCCGGCCCCGCATGTCCCGATTTTCCCGGACATATCCGGCTTTTTGGGATTTCCCCCCGGACGGGGATTTGGAGCCAAAAAAGCCGGACATGTCCGGGAAAATCCGGACGTATGGTAACCCTACCAAAATAGACTGCTCAGTTTGAAAAGTTTCCTAATTGCTGTGCCTATGAAGGGAGAATTGTTCAGAGAGACTAGGTATCTTTCCCTTCCTCCTTACTGTGAAGGATACCTTAACTAGAACTGTGGACATGAATGTTGAAGAGACAACAGGTTTTGGGCCAGATGCAAATACAAACTCAGACACTATTTAAAAATTGGATCAAAAATAGACTCACAAGGAACCTACTAGAGGGCAGTATGGAAAAAACACATGACACCATTAGTCAATAGCCTGACACAATTCAAGAGATTCAGAGTGAATCAGAGAACACAGAGACCTTTAATACAGCTGTCAATTAAGGACAATGCCCTCTTGCATAGGAAGCTAGAAGTGCTTGAGAATTCATCAAAGAACAGCAATTTAAATATATTTGGACTTCCTGAGGGAGTTATTCCCATGGAAACTTTCCCAGCTCTTGTAGAATTTATATTAAATGAGTCACTTAATCCCTGCCCTCCCTGCCTCCCCCCCCCCCGCCCTGCCCCAAGTTTTACATCCTATTATAGTTTTCTGTTAATTCTATTAGGGAAGGAACTCTTCATCTCATGTTGGTACTTTATATCAGACCTATCCCTTATGGTAAAAACTGGTTAGGTTCAGATTATTTTTATATTATGTGGGAGAGGGAAGAAATTGTATATATAATTACATATACAAAACTATGTTAAAAGAACATTAAGGTAATAAAATCAAATAGTCAGAAGTTAGGATAAGTACTAAGTGCTTCACAACCATTCATGAATTTATCTTCTCAACACCTCTGAGGTATTATCCTCCCAATTTTACAGATGAAGAACTCAGGTACAGAGAAATTAAGGCCAAAATTGTTCACTTATTTTGGATGCTCAACTTGAGACTCCTATCACCTGATTTTTCTGAGTACTTAGCATTTTTATAACACTTCAGCTTCTTCAGCACTCAGCTTTTTTAACCATGAGACCATCTTTCTCTTCTTGCCACTCCCGCCTCCTCTCCAGCATTTCCTAACTTGTGAGTGTTTCACTTTGCAATCTTAACGTTCTTTTAACTGTTTTGTTCCTCCGTAGGCTTTTCTTATGTTTATGTAATTTTGTATTTAGGTTTTTAAAAAAACATTTAAGTGTAAAAACTGAAATTTCATCGCATGAAATCATACTGACCCCCACATGGGTCATCAACAGAATTGGGACCTTTAGGTCCACACCACGGACTTCAGTCACTTGAGCTGATTGGAGTCCTGGCAGCAGCAGAAGGCTGTTATTGTTATCCCCTAAGTAGACTAGATACTAGAGGGGGGGGATGAGGCACACATCTTGCCAGTGGTTCACAACTATCTGCTGGACAACAAAGGAATGCTGAGACTCAGGACTCTTGGTTTCAATTCCTAGTTCTGGAGAAGAGTGTGCTCCAGTTGTGTCCTTGTCCCAGTCCTCCGCCTTTTCCAAGCACCTATCGCCTGCCCTGTCTCCTACTCCAGCACTTCTCTTTCCCCTGGAGTTCCTGCTCATCCCCTCCTCTGTTTCCTATCCTTGTTTGCAGAGTTCCTGTGTCCCCCATGGCTCTGGAAAGGGAGAGGAGAGGCAATCCCATTTCTACTCAGCAAAGCACTTAAGCGCACACTTAACTAAGTAGGGGAGTAGTTCTATTGAAGTCAAAGGTATTTAAGCACACACAAGTGCTTTTCTGAATAGAGATAGGATTACGGCTGTGCCTAACGTTGAGCATGTGCTTAAGTGTTTTACTGAATCAAGGCTTAGGAGCTAAGTAGTATTAAGTGCTGCTGCTTGCAAAAGGAGCTTCATTGCAATCTCTTTTTCTCCCTTAACTTAAAGTGGAGGATCTTGCTATACTTCAGCTTGTCAGTAAACTCTGCCTTTTTTTCTTTTCTCTCTCCACATAGTAAGTTCCATGAACAGCTCCCTTCAAAGAGAGAAACCATAAGATACCTTCCTTCTTCAACTGTAACATCCACTAAGATGGGCAGCACTGAAACTTTCATTAATTCCCTCACACTCCCCGGATGATTTTTGAAAAATGCCTTTTACCCATTCTCAGACTAGGACTAAATTTCTTTATATAATGTAAAGAACGACTGGAATGATTGTTATTTAGCACTTCAGGAGCTTAGCATCACTGAACGTCAGGCCACTTAAATAATCTATATTTAGGCACTTCTTTAGCAGTTTAACTTCAGGCTCCCAGATTGGAAATGTCTCATCTTAGATTTTTCATCATAGCAAAAGAAAAAAAAATCCTTAACTAGAATTTCCTTTCAATCAAATAAAATGGAGGTTTTCAAAACAGTGTGGTCCAACTTCATTATACAGCAGCACACAGTGCCAATATGGTGTCTTCGTTAAGCTGAGTTTTGATATAAATATAGCGATCTACCTAGAAAAGTATTTCCTTAATCCTGAGTACAACTAACTTGCAATATGAACTGACATAGAGCAAAATACAGATATTCCTTCTTTTTGAGTTGTTTCTTCTTACCATTGTATCCAAAAAACTTCAATAAAACCATTCAATTAAAGAATTTTTTTTCCCCAGAGATAGCCAGAACTCCCCCCCATAGCTGACTTTGCAGCCACACAAACTAAAAATAAAACGGGAATTATGAAGTCAACTAATGTGTTATCTATTACAAAGGGCAAAAAGAATGTAGCTTGCAGTGAACACAAACTATTGCATGCCTCAAAGGAAGACAGCATCATCCTACATCCTACCAACTGATAACAGCAGAGCCAACAATTACCCTTAACAAACATGACTATACAAAATCCCCTCAAACACAGATCCACACAAGAATTTGGGATAACTGGCCACTGTCATTTGCTGTTGATACCAAAGATTAGTAAAGAAAATACAACTCCACAGCTAGGAATTTGTCAAAAGCATAAAAGGAATTTGCCTACATACCACCAAGATGCTATCTACCGCACTCCCGGTCAAAGCACAGTGGCAGAATCTAAGTAGAGGTTCCAACAAGTAAGCTGATTTCTTAAAATAAAGCATTAATATGACCAGAGGCACAGAGAGCTATTAGCATGAAAATATTAATTTAAAAATCCTCCCCAGTGTCAAACAATACACATTCATGACATGGCACTTTAACAAGTTACTGATAAAATATTATTTATTGGGCTACCCCTAGGATGGTTAAATATTTAAGAAGTAAAATCACTCAATGCAGAGTTAGGAGAAAAAAAGCCTTATTTTACACAATCCTCACTCACATATCCATGGAGGGATGAATGATTTCATATAGCAGTTGTATCAAGAGACACCCTGAACGTTTGTAATATTGCTAATGAATTCACCAGTTCTAGGAAAGCCCACGTACTTGAACATTTGCTTCATTTTCATCTGCCAAAAAATGTAATAAAATGGAATTTAGTGCCTAGCATCATTTCTTGTTCCTTATTTATATCTGGAATTACTAAGCACTCAATTAGGACACGATACTCTTTTTTAAAATGACTTTTTGTATAGAAAACTCATTTAGTTTCATGTCTTCTTCAGAACATCTGTTTCTCCTTAGACATGCAGTACACAACTTATGATCCAAGGATATAACTGGATGGAGGAAAATGAACAAGAGTCTAAAAGCAAATATAACCTTGATCAGATTTATCTAGTTAAACCAGATTGTGTGTTTTATAAATATTGTTTTTCATCAGTAAGAGTTATTCTCAATGTCTATGGTACATTTCTCTCTCTGCGAAGTTATGTTAGCTATTTGTGTATGTAAGACCTGTAAATAAGTGTCCATATTAGTTATGTACTTCCCAGAATCAAAGCTTGAGTCTGAAATGTGGCCTAATTCAATACTTCCCACTCCCCCCACCTTTTTTTTCTTTTCTTTTTTAAAGTACCAGGTATACATAAGTGAAACATGGAGCTATACAGGTGATAGCATGAAAATTAGTAACATCCTTTTCTGCTTATGCGTTCTTATCTATAATCTACAGTATACATATTAGGAACACAAAATCTGGGAAAACATTAAAGAATTTATAGCAGCAGGATTGGAAAATTTCAGAAAGAACTATTCTAAAGGCTTACTGCTGAACTCTTATTAAAATATATAGCACTGATACTATACTCTGATCAGGAAATGCTTGATCTAAACAGAGCATAAAGGAAGCACACAGACAGTCTTGCAGACGAAAATTTGAATGTCGACACCACTGAGACAGAGACAAGATAGGATAGTGTGCTCATTACGACTATTATTTTGAGTGATCTTTTCAAGCCACTCAACAGTCGCGTGGGCTGCTATCGATGAGGCATCTTTAAAACAGTACAAGCCCCAAATCAGGCATTTCATAGTGCTCTGGAACCAACACAAAATTCTTGTTGACTGTAGGAGACGCATTTTAGCTGCAAGAGTCACAGTAAGTACGGCTTTCTGAAATCAGGAACATTTGAAAATACTTAGTCAGAAAAGAGTATGAACCGAATTGCTTAACTGACACCTTAAGGAAAATATCCTCGTTCAACTAGATTCAGCTACCAATTACTGGACACACATTCTTATAAATGAGAAAACACAAGCTATCTTTTCTTCCTTAGTTTCCTGGAACATATCAATTACAAGAGACCCTCAGGAAACCATATGCAAAAACCAAATGAGATTTCCTAACAACAACAGTACACTGATATGGTAAAAGCTAGGCACTATTTTACTTGAACATTAAACCTAAACCCTTAAAGAGAGACAAATATAATCTAACCATAAATACCAAACAAACTAAATATTAGGAGTCAAGTTAAGAACTAAAACACTCTAAAAATTAAGGGGCTTAATTAGCTGTCTAAGGGGTTTCATTCTCCTCACACATTGGTGTAAATCAAATGAAACTGCACTGAAATCAACAGAATTACAAATCAGACCATACAACTCTGGTTTTCAAAGTTTAAGGAAAGAAAGGATATATACTACTGAAGCATGAAATAACAGAAGGTGTAAGGAAGGCTTTTTTTTTTTGCAGAAGCAAGACAATTCCATTAAATTAAAAGGTAACATTTAACATTGTTAAATATATTCATTATACCATGGAACTCAAGTGCAGGATGCTACTGAGGCAAATGCATTATGGAAACAACACACAACACCACTTTCGAGATCCATCGGTCCTACACACACAGGCACCAGAACAGGAGGGAACCAGGGGACCATGGTCCCATCATTTTTAAAAGTGTGAGGGCTACGCCCTCCCACTTTTTACTGGTGTAAGGGCAAGCAACGGGGGAGAAGGGGTTGAGAGGAGCAAGCAGGGGCCGGCTCTTGTGGGGAAGAGGTGGTATGGGAGCGGGGCCTTGAGGGAAGAGGCAGCGTGAGGGCAGAGGCTGGTGGAAGGGGAGGTCTGAGGGGTGGGGCCATGGTTCAGGCACAGTGGCTCCCCCAATTTTAGGGATCTTTCGTCACTTGCCTATCACAACATGTGGTATACCTCATCCAGTGCACTAAAAGCCCTAACAACTATGTGGGTGAAGCCAGACCATCACTATATTCTTGAATGAACTCAGAGGCAAATGATAAAAAAACAAAAACACCATATCACCCGAGGGCAAACACTTTCAACAAAATGATCACTGCATATCTGACCTCTGCATCCTCATCCTCAAAGGAAACCTGCACAACACCTTCAAAAGATTAATCTGAGTGCTTAAATTGACAATTTTGCTAGACACTAAAAGTCTTATTAAAATAATCTGCAACCCTATAACCCCCACTTTTTGTTCTGTATCTGCAAAGGCATTAACAGGCAACTTCACTTTGAATAGTCTCTTACAATATGTGTTAACTACGTAGGCAAAACCATCTGTTCCACCTCGTATTTAGCTGTGACACTCCGTCCGAGGATCTCTAGGTAGTTCAGAAGCTTGTCTTTCACCAACAGAAGCTGGTCTAATAAAATATATTACTTCACTCACCTTGTCCCTCTTATTTTCTGGGACCAACACATCTACAATACTGCAAACGAAAGGGATTGAATGCGAGTAAGAACAGCATCTGTAATTACGCTTCTAGACTAATACAAAAAGAGGTTCCTCTGCTTCAGGGAATGACCACAAGGTTGGACTAAAAAGAATTATACCATTATATGATACAACACAAGTAGGTGCATTATGGGTGTTTTACACTTTTCTCAATTATATAACAGCTATTGGAACAAATACTAAAGTATGGAAAGTCCTATGTTTCTAACAGTATAAAAGAGTGCTCTGAATTGCTTTATAATACATTGCTTTTAATAGTTTATTTTTGTTTTTTGGCTGAAGTCTATTGGCTTGGCATTCTAGGGTTTTGTCACAGTGTGAATGACATTTATATATTGTGTTGTTATGGTAAACAGTTAAGCTAACTTCATTCAGAGCTACAAAAAGAAACCCTGGGCTGAATGGGAAGCCATAGACAGTAGGGGAGCCCCAAAACACAACAGATTAGACAAGTGGCGAGTCAGTGAGCATTTTAATTCTCCCAACAATTTTTGTTTTTTCTCTTAATTCCAAATATATTTTACATTAGAGAGTTTGGTGGATCAATTATGGGAAGATGTTTCCACATGACAGAAGTCAATAGAATTTATGTAAAACAAAAATGTAGGACCACACCATATCTTTTGGTTTCACTCATAGGGGTAAGAGAATCAAACAGATCTTAACTCCGGAGGTATAATAAGGGCAGTGTGATCTTATCCATGATCTGTGCTTGAAGTAGGACAGGGCTAGATGGACTGACGTGCATATAGCATCATCTCGTCACCAAAACCATAACTTGACACATTAATTTCCTTTTTTGGGTGGGTGGGTGGGAATGGGGAAAACAGGTGCAGGCTAAAGCCCAGTTAGTAGGGATGCCCACATAAAAGTTGCAGTGAAGGTTTAGTATAGATGGCTCTTGCATTCTCTAATATTGGAGACCTGTTAATTTTGTGGTCTGTCTTGTTTTCCTGTTTTATCTAGGGGGAGATGATGCAAGCTTCATTAACATGAGAGAAGACTTCAAGAAACCAAATGAGGGGAGCCTGAAGTCTCCTGACTCCTACTATGCAGGAATAGCCTCACTTAGAAGATAAGGTTCAAAATAAATGAATAAATTAAAGGAAATATCAGCTTTAGTATAATAACTCCCATGAATACAAATATTCACTTTTCACAGAGCACACACAAATGCTACTAGTATACAGATTAAAAATGGTCAACACAAGTTTACTTGAGAGTCCAAACAGTACTATGATTTTCCCACATTTTCCCATATCTTTTGGACTTTTCACTATAATGTGTCTAGGATTATTATTATTATTTTTAAACCAAGGTGGTATATACTAAAGCTTCTGAATTATTGTCTTTCAGAGATTGCTTTTCCTACTCAAACCATGGGGAAATACTGTAACTATTTGCTTGTATGACTGTAAACATAATGTTCAAAGATCAGCATGGTTCCCTAGGAAAATAATACCCTGATTTTTCACAGCTCCATTCAGGTGATGTGCTACTCAGCACTTTATAAATCTAATTCTGGCTATCTTACTGACTGTGTATGGACTTGAGTGAGTCTTCATCTTGCTGGGTGAAACCCTAGCTCCAATGAAGCCAATAGGAGTCTCAGTTTCCCTTATCTGTAAAACAGGGATAACACTCACTTTTACTCACCAGACCCGGTGTGTGTGTGTGTGCTGAGGATGGATTTAAAAATGATAAATCATAAAATGATTTAAAAATACATTATGTCCTATAGAAATATTCATCATCATTAGAACTTGTGGAGAAAATAAACTTTTTGACATATGGTAAAAGTGGTGTACAATGATAAAGACAGACCATTCTGTAATTCCTAACTAAAAAGACAGGCTTTCATGTATTGGAAAGAGATGGGGGCATGTTTCAACATCACACTTTCTAAAGCCTTTGAATCATCACAAAGCATGTGACTAAATCTCTGCAATGAGATTAGTGTGAGGTTCCTTGAAAACTGAGTTACAAATGACCTCACTTAACTTTGTTTTGGGAATACAGGATTGGGTAGTCTAAATTTTCATAGTAACATCTGCAGGACATTCCAAAATCCTGGCATAAACAGTAACACCTACATTCCAGATCTAATTCATTATCCTCCCCCAATATGTATAAATTAGGGTGTGTGGATGGAGGTGTTCTTTAACTGAAGCCTTTAATATAAAACAGTTTTATTCTTCAGAAACGGGTCCTTTCTCTCTCACCTGTAAGTTAACCATAACAATGCAAGTCAGGTTGCTTTTATCCAGAGCTCATTTTTATACATATGGACATTCTTCACAGTAGAAACTAAGATGTGCAAGCACCTGAATATCAACTACATTGAGCTAGCTTCATAAGATTAAGTGCTTCATAGCCAAAACTACACATTAGCAAAGAGAGGGAAGGGTAGTTTTGACTAAGAAGCAGAGTCTTATGAAACTCAGTATCTATGAAACTTCGTATCTATCTGTTTGAATACCTCCGTTTCTACTGTATAAATGCATGCAGAATGTCCTTTAATCCAGACTAGCCAACATTGCTAGTTTTGATTAAATTACAAATACTTTACTTACCACCTCTTCATGAGAAGCTGAAAGAATACATTTATATATAATTCGCAATGATTTTTGATCAATTTTATTCTTATTTTGGTGTATTTAAAATTGTAATTAGGGCGAATAAAAGCCTGAGCATGTACATTTGTTAAGAACTGAACTTTTCTACAGTGTTCTGGGCACTCAAGGGAAATAAGAAACAGAATATTATTCCATCATAGTTCCCAGCAGAGTTACATATCAATATACCTTCCCCTTCCAGTTTATACAAAGGCCAGATACAGAAGCAAATGCACAAAGTATGACATTACCCATACTGGATCTATTAATGGAATAAATGCAGCAGTCAAAGACCATCTGAAGATAAAAGCATCATTCTCTCTAAAGTCTCTGGAATTCTGCCCAAATCACAGTCATATTTTCATATTTGTCAGCTTTTTCCTGTAATCAAAGGGTTTCTTTTATAATAGTAAATAAAAATTAAGTGTTCTTTCTGTGCTTCAAAGTAAAACTGTTTCAGTAACAATGCACACAGTACAGTGTGCATCTTTCTATAGAAAGATTTACCGCCTCAATTTCAATTTAAAAATTTGTAATGCTTCAGGGCTAGAAACACTGGGCCACAATTATGCAAAAATGAATTTCTCACATGTGAAAGCTTATGCTCTAATAAATTTGTTAGTCTCTAAGGTGCCACAAGTACTCCTGTTCTTTTTGCGGATACAGACTAACACGGCTGCTACTCTGAAACATGTGAATCAGTTATCTTTTCCCATACAAAACTTTATATTTAAGAAGGGCTATTTTTAATAAGCAATACAGAGAAACAGGCTTTTACCATGTAAATACATAAAGTTACATAAAACCTGTGTATTCTACAGTACAACCAGGTTATAGCCAATTGTCCATTTACAACATTGTTAACTAGACTTGGCCTCAAAATCTGTTCTCAGGAAAAAAAAAAAAAGATTTAAGGCTAGAAGGGACAATTATAATTATCTGACCTCCTGCACAATACATGCCATGGAATTTCACCCAGAATTCTGGTATCAAGCTCAGTATCTTCTGGCTGATCTAGAACACAACTTTTAGAAAGACATTCAATCTTGATTTAAAGACTTCAAGTGATGGAGAATCCACCATTTCCCAAAGTAAATAAGTTAAATGGCTATTTTAGTTACCCTCATTAAAAATTTGCTCCTTATTTCCAGTTTGAATTTACATAGATAGCTCCAACTTCCAGCCCTTGGATCTCATTATACATTTGCCTGCTAGATTGAAGATCTCTCTTCTATTATAAATTCTCTCTCTGCGTAGTTACTTATAGACTGCGATTGAGTCACCTCTTCACTTGCTCTTTGACAAGCTAATAGACTGAGCTTCTTAAAGCTTTCCACAGCGGGAACGTTGAGGTTAATTAGCTACTCTAATACACACCCCTAAAAAACTGGCTCTCTGGTTAATATTTCATTGCTGCACAAGAGACCCAAATTCAATCCTTAGGCCCAGTTCTCTTGGAGGTGGAGACAGGAAATATTACAAAGGCAGTGCATTCAGCCCTGGGGACAGAGCACTTCCGGTAACACTTTCTTTGGCTGAGCTAGGAACGGCACTAATCATTTCTGGTCTCCTAAGCGAGTCTTAACCTGTTTTTTTCCTAAGGTGGGTCTGAAGCGTTGGGGAGATGCTACTCAAAATTAAAACACTCCTCTCAGGCTCTGAGACATGTTCCATCTACAATTATTTCAGTAAAGCATTCTTGATTTTCTAACTAACCTCACTGTTGAAGAACAATAATAAAATTGTTGTTGGCATACACTAGAGCTTTAAATCTCTTTTGGATTCCTTTCTCCACATCCTGAAGAAATGAGCTATTTTCCATCCTCCCACTCACACCCAGAAGCAACGTCTGCATATCACTTAGATACCTGCTCATGACGGATATAAGTAGTAACAAGTTGTTGATTTAAAGACTTATTTATTGCCAAGAGTAGAAGTAATAAGCAACATTTTATTTGACTATCAGCAGCCAGTGGATTAAACACCACTATAAACAAGTCTATACCCCTTTAAATTTAAACTTAACCACACCCTATAGTTATTTCGCTTTATTGCTTCCAGCTTTTACATAACAAGTATAATTAAATTGCATTTCTATACACTGGCCTAAAATATCTAAATCATTTGGTAGAATGTGTTTAAATTGCATCTTGTTTGCTATATCTACCATTTTATCACCATTAGCAAATTTGTAGTACATTTGGGGCCAGATTGTGACTAACCTTGAGTTGGTTAGCAAGGGGTGGGGGTGCAAGAAACAGACAGATAGACATACCCCTTTTAACCTCTATGCTGGGCTGGAGTCAGCGCCAGCCCTTGAGCTACAAATGTGTAAGCACTCCATGAGTCTAGAAGCAATGCTGGATGCCCCTAGATCAGTGGTGGGCAACCTGTGGCCCGTCAGGGTAATCCACTGGCAGGCTGCAAGACAGTTTGTTTACATTGACCGTCCGCAGGCACGGCCACCCGTAGCTCCCAGCGGCCGCGGTTCGCCATTCCTGGCCAATGGGAGCTGTGGGAAACGGTGTGGGCCACAGGGATGTGCTGGCCGCCGCTTCCTGCAGCTCCCATTGGCCAGGAACGGCGAACTGCAGCTGGCCGTGCCTGCGGATGGTCAATATAAACAAACTGTCTTGCAGCCCGCCAGTGGATTACCCTGACGGGCCACAGGTTGCCCACCACTGCCTAGATGGGTGGGAACAGGATAAGGGAAACAAGCCCACACCTTTTTCAAAGGTTGTAGCAATGATTGTGGCTGTAAACTGTGGCTTAGCTTGTGATATAGAGTGGAGTTCTGGGCTAGCAGGGGAGCACAATTACCTCTCCTTCAATCATTTTGTTCAAAATCATTTATGGGATAGCTTTCATGGTAGCAAAAGTTACATTATGACTTTTACTGCAATTGCTTGTTTTCACATGCTTTCTGTAAAGTTATCCTTTCCAACTGAGATTTTCCATTTTTGCTGAGTCCACAGAGCTTTATTTGAAAGAATGAGCCATTTTTTAATTAGGGAAAATTTAAAATATATATTTTGCTATTCAGAGTATATTTTAATACTCTTTTGAATACACAACTCAAAACCAGCGGAACCTTGTGAGCTGAAATGTTCTGGTTACTTAGTGCTCACTGGCATACTAGGCACTTTGATGTGTGCAAAAAATTAAAAGCCAGTTATATACATTTAAAAATAATGTTTTCATATCTGACAATAATAATTTTTGTTAGTTGAGAGCTATGATTCTATTTGCAGCACCTAGAATTGTAACTATGCATATATGCAAATATATGTTCAGAAAGTGTTCACCATAGAATACTCTCTCTATGGAAACAGATTCTCTACTGAAATCTTTATGCTTTTATTAATGTCGCAAAACACAAAATTAGTTTTGTGCACTGCTGCTTAAGTTACAGGAACTTGTCAACTCCACAAAATGAAGTGGGAGTACAGAGAAGAGCAAAATGCAATAGACAGCAACCAGTCAGCAGCACCCTCTCTTTTAAACCAAGAGAGTTTTAGCTTGAGCTCTTCTGATAGCAGCTGTAGCTGGTGGGGGGGGGGGGTGGGAGAGGGGAGAGGAGG